AACACAGCCTCCGTGCTGGTGGACATCAAAGCACTTCTCCCTATTTTGTTCCCAGTTACAAATTGTTCAGTTACCTGAAACCCAATCACAAGGATGTTGCTAGGCAAAAGGCTTTTGTCATTAATAACTGGCCCACAGTCACTAGGCTCTTTGAAGACCCAGAGAGAGCACAATGCTCAGTAGCTGCTGGATATGCAAATTTTACATGCACTCCATCCCTAGTGTTCTGGCCATCAGTGGTAAGGCAAGAGGGGACAAGTTACTTGAATATCACCCCAGATGCCCTTTCTTTTTAAGAGAGTGGTTCCAACAAATACATACTGCTTCAGCAATGTGTGTGCCTGTATGCCCTCTCATAACCCAGTAACCTTGTCACCACCCAGCTGCAGCTGTATACAGAACCCCTTGGCTCCAATTTGCCTGCAATCACTTCAATTACTACTGGTTCAAACAGCTGTTTACATAATACTTCCTACAAGTTTCAGGTAACTTGCTTTTCAAAACATTCGGTAATCTTTTACTACGTTTGTTTTAAAGCAGTTCTTTCCCATTTCAATCCACAATTTTATACAGCTCAAAAATTAAAAGACATGTTTTTTATAGTATTTACAGGGAAGACATACTCACTGTTTCCAAATTCTAAAGGAGTCATACAGCATTCACTGCAAAAAAAAACTATTTCTCTTCCAACAGACATTGCAGAACCTGCTGAACTTCCCAGAATATTCTGTTTTTATTATACCATCATCATCCTTGGATATGCCTATCCTACCGGTAGGACAGACCCAGCAGAGGTGGCAGCACAGTGGTGTACAGTCAGGTTGGAGTTGCCCTGGAAGTCCACAACGTTGGCTCCAGACTCCAGGATGTCTCAAGGCATCAGGCCAAATATGACAATGAAACCTCTATTTGTATCCTGTACACAAAAAACAGTGTGAATCCAACATGACCAATTATAACCCATTCCCCTGTGCTGCACAATCAGTCATCAATAAAGTGGTAGGAGGGACCATCATCAATGTTACCAAGCAGCACTTGCCTAGCAACTGACAGTCACTGCTCACTGACACTCAGTTTTGGTTCCAGCAGGGTCACTCAGCCCCCACCTCATTACGACTTTGTTTCAAACATGAACAAGAGAGCTGAACTCCAGAAGGAGATTGATGGCCTTTGACATCAGCGTAGCATGTATTTGAACATGGCATCAAAGAGCACTAGCAAAGCTAGAGGCAATGGGAATTGGGCGAAACTGACAAAGGGTCACTGGACTCATATTAACTCTGTTTATCCCTTTACAGATGCTGCCAGAACTGCTGATTTTGTCCAGCATTTTCTACTTCTGTTTTCTAGCACTGGAGTTCATCGTTTTATTTTTGGTCCTCCATCTACTGGACTCCTGTCTAATTGGGGACCACCTTCAGTTGGTCAAAACCTGCAACACGTAGTTCTACTACACTCAAATAAAAATACTTCCCACTTTAGTTGCAGCAATTCCTATTTTGTTGGAGTGGCGCGCCATAAGTTTGAGACAATCAGCCTAGTGAGATTCAGCTTGCATGTTGGACTGTTCGATTACCAACACTGCCCACCATTGGCTCACAAGTCCCCCTATCGCCCACATTGTTCTAATCTCACCAGCTTGCCATCCACACTTCCCAATGTGGCACACTGGCCTACCCTCCTTACTTTTCCAGCAATTGTTGTCAGCACTAAGCTTCACAACTTTCTCCCAGAGCCCCTCAACATTGATACCCCACTGCCAATGCTGAGCCTTACCCCTCTCCTTATCAAAGGCACCTGCACCCTGATGTTCCTTGATGCTCGCTCCATGGGGCTGTACATTCCCTGCTTCTGACTTTCTGAATCACCAACATCCAACTGCCTCCTGTTCCTGTGACGATTCATTTCATTTTGCAAGAATGAGTCCTAGACAAGAACTGGCCTCAGTATGGCCTGTACTTTAAACAGACAATTCACCACCCATACTGATTGCGGGCTAACAATATCTAGGCACACTGTTGACCAAATACCCGTACTAACCCAAGTCCAGTCCGCACGCTGACTGTTCAAATAACACCGGTCCATTCAATGTTTTCACGGTTCAATGCTGTTCAGACATTGCTATTCTGTTTACAGCTTTTGCATCGCTATGTGATTCAGCCATAAGTAGCCCTTTGGAGAGTGCACTACAATATGCCCTTGCGCCATAAGCTCTGTTTGCCACATGATAGTTGGGCCTGGACATAGTTGGGGTGATGGGTTGCCTTGGTCCTCTTTCTTTCTTTCTTGCTCTCTTTCTTTTGTTCTTTCTGTCCACTTTGATGCATTGAGTGTGGTTGGAGACTTGGTGACAGAATAAGTACTATAAGCATAATTTAAAGCCGTATCACCATTAAGAACAGACAAGTAAGTACTCCGTCTGAGATGAATGAAGATTACCACTCTCCAGCTACACACTTGTTCTTTCCTGTCAGGTTTCTTAAATGTTTGATTGGGTAGGAGTTAATTGTGAAGATGGCTAATTCCAGTGAGCTGCAGTATTAATGAGATGCAAATACATGCAGATTGGCTTCTCACAACATTTTACAAAACACTCAACCTGGCACCTGAAGGTGATGAACTTAATCATTTAAGTATCACAATTGTGAAAATGATTTTTTTTTTGTTTCTTGTCTGGGGGAAAGGAGAGAGAAATGTATGGAGATCTAGGCAGAAGGCTGGTCTAACCATGTGTATGCTAGAAATGCTTGTAAAGCAGCATGTAGAGAAGTCCAACGAGCATTAGATAGTAGAGCTCATGGAATAGTTTTTCAACATGTAATAACAGGGTAAGAGCCAGAGGAATATTTATCAACACCCTGTATTGCAGTAATTAGTCTTTATATGTAATAAACAGTGCTATAAAGTCTTGGCCTGAAGACAGTTGCCTTCTCCTAAACGAGTCTGTCTTAATCTAACACATAAAATGTTGGTATAAAAACACACAACAAAAGACGGGAGGGAACTTGAAAATGCCACCTATATTGTGACAGTAACACCATAGGCTGGTGTGTGACTGCATTATGTTTACTGTCAACTTTTGTGTACATTACAAAATGAAGTTTTGAATTATTTCCTAAATGTTTCAACTACTTATCTACTTCCAAAACCTGCATTCATTTTCCCAATTTAGCTGACTGACCCCTCAAACCTCTGGAAATGGCTTTGAGTTTAATGCTATTGTTTCAGACTTAAATATGTTGTGCTCCAACTTGTGAAATTCTGTCATTTTATGATTATTATGTAAGATCATTTATTTTAAGGTTACTAAGTAACCCCACCTCATTACAAAACACAGTCTAAAATAGCCTTAATTCCTGTTTACCATGACATCTTTTTCTAGGAAATTATCTTAAACTGTCTTATGAACTCAACCTCCAGACCATCTTCGCCATTTTGATTTCTCTATTCTAGATGGGTAATTAAAACCCTTACAATTATTCCAGTTCCTTTTTTTATTTCTTGATAAATACTATGGTCAGTTGAATAACTTATCAATCCCTTAACCTACTTTCACCAATGATTCCTTCCCTTATTAAATGTCATCACCACTTATGCTAACCGTGCCTCGTGATCTTCTGAACCAAGAACCTTTCATCTTTTATTATTAGGGCTTTCCCACTCCTCTCCCATTCCCCATTCTGCCTGAGTTTTAAAATTATCAAGTATCTCAGAATATCTAGGTCTGAACATTAGTCACTTTGAAACCATGGCTCTATAATGGTGTTCAGGATGAAATCCATTTGGATCTATTTGTGCCATTGTTTAACTGTCTTTCTCATTACTTATGCATTCTGAAAGAGCCTACAACTTCAATTATTTTACCATTATTCTTTCCTTGTAACTTATCAAATGGTGCACAATTCATCCAAATTGCTACACAGCCCTTTTTTTTCCAAATCTTGCCTCTAAAGTTTTAGATTTCTCCCTTTTTATACTCCTCCTTTCTCACCCTTTCAGATTGAAGCCATACCTACAACCCTGGTTATTCAATTATCCACGTCTTAGATCTCAGCTCACTTTAATGGAAGCCATCCCAACAGGAAAAATATCCTTATTTTTCCAGTGGTTATGTCGGTGCCCAATGACTTGAGCTGCTTTCCTTACACACTCAGCCATACATTTAACTTTTAATGTCTTAATCCTGAAGTTAATTTCTATGATGTAGGTGATAATCAGGGATTATTACTTTTGAGGTTCTATCCAACACCAGAGAACATAGCTGCTCAAACTTCCTCCACAGAACCTCATTTTAGATTCTACATGGGCCACAATAACTGGATGCTCTTCCTCCTCCAATTCAAAGTTCTTAATATAGTTCAAGTTCTTGACAACATTAGACCTAGATAATACTAACCAACATTGAGAAAGTCCCAATTTAATAATTCTTTAGTGTTCTGATAAACATTACATTAGCTAAGTTTTGCTAAGAGCTTTTGCTCTTATTAACTGTTGTATATTGCTTCTGATAAAATCACTATGTTCAACTTCAGCAGTAAAATCTACATGAACATTTGAGACAATCCGAAGACTCATCTTCAACCAATTTCAATGTGAAATGATATATTACATGATGAAATGCTGAATTATTGGTAATTGTATAATGTTTTAATGTAAACAAAGCCTATATGCTGAATCTATCAGTCTGGCAAAATTATGTTGATAGAAAGTTTTGTAGGAAAATATAAACCATTACCAATGATTAAAAATTTAGTCAATGGATAGAATTTTCCACCACCACATTGACCAGCTCACAATTTTTCTTTTCATCAAAATGAGCAAGATGAAAATTGTAAGGTGATAAGTATAGAATTACAAGATTAGGTCAATGTGTACAACAGAATTTTCTTCTAGTTAAAAATCGCTTAAAACATCATAAATTCAAAGTGTACGCACAAACCCCATAACGTTACCATAAAAACACTTATCTGTCTAATAAATAACCACTGGTACCATTTTTGTAGAATGTTAAGAACTTCTTTATCTACAGAACATCACTGCATTTGTTTTTACACTTTCTGCTTCTTTGCCACTATTGATGAGAGAAACCAAACCTTTGTTTGTGTCAAATACTGCTTCACTTCATGTGACATTGAATACCAATGCAATTATATAGAACAAATAAGTGTAATGTTTACATGAAATGTAATTTGGTTAATCTGGTTGGTGTGCTAGAAGGCTGTCCAAGAAGCAAGTATTCACCAGTTGTTACTGTTCTGGGTCAATGTTTGAAATTCTTTAAAGCAAGAACTAACTTCCGCTCTAACCTGAACTTGCTTTTATAGTTTAATCATCTTAGACGCCTGTTGATGCACAAGGTTTTCAATAGTCTTTTGTACTCTTGTAGGTTTTGATGCTTCTCTTTGATTCATTTCCCCGTGGAGAAGGAGACCTTCTAGTTTTCATCCTAATTTTTGATCCTTGTTTGTAGGGTTGAAAGCTATTTTTGTGGGGCTTCTCCTTTTTCCTTTGTTCCTTCTCAGTTAGAGCCGAATCCTTAACCTCTTCCCTTTGTCTCAAGTCATACGTTTGTCGTTGCGACTGTATGGTATTCTTAAGAGTATTGATGAGAAACCGTTTGTTGGCTCCTGGAAGAGGACACTTCATCCTGTTTAAAAAAGTGCAAAGTAAGATATTTTATTATTCTGAGAAGGTGAAATATAAATGATTACATTAAACTATTTGAAAAGTGCATCTTAATTTAGGTTTCTGTTCCATTCAAGATTTCAAATTTCTCCTTAAGTTGTTAAAGAGACATTGAGTAAATTACCAAGTCGGTGGAGCATCTTAGTTCTTTCAAAACAATTTACACTGAAGCTAAATCTACTTCAAGAAATTATACTTGTGTAGCACCTTTAACAAAGTTAACATTTCTAAGTTATTCATAAAACCAGTAATGGATAACATACAGAAAGTGAGAAAAACAGATTGAGGAAGTTGATCAATGACAGATAAAGTAGGTTTTGACAAAATTTTTAATTTTGTGTAGGGAATTTAGAGGGTTTTAGAAAAAAAAATTCACAGTGCAGGGTGGCTGGTTCTAAACGTGAGGTAGAACGGGAACAGTCCAATATAGGCAAAAGTCCAGATTTAAAAAACTTCAGTGTTCTGTGGGTTTTAGGGTCAAGTGAAGATTACAAGAACTGGAGTGATGGTGACACTGCAATTTGTGTAGTATAGGATAAAGGCTGTGAAGGACAAGTTGAGATTTGCATAACAGAGCCTGGGAACCCGCAAAGTTTTATTTCAAAACTGTAGGTCAATGATATTGCATACATCTAGAGTATAAATAACACCTTACAGATTTTCCTTTTTTGGGAATACACTACTTTAAACTCCATAAAAGTTGATCTCTCTCAGTCCTGGATTGTCATTGTCCTTAGAACTGACCTTTCCATCTTTGCAGCATTTTAGATTAGACATTGTGTTTCTAGTGTTGACTCCCAAGACCTTTAAACTGTTCATTACTTCAAAACAATTTTTTCTGTCCAGTTTAAGACCACTGACCCTAATTAAACAAACTATTACAAAATAAAAATCAGGAATATTTATAATAAGCAACAAAAGTACTGATAAGGGCAATGCATCCCATAAACTGTCACATATTAGGGCTGCCACGGAATTGTCATGGAATAACAGGGTCAGAGAGAAGGCTGGATATTATGTTGTCTGACTGGCAAGAATTAGGGAGCAGTGTGAATGCTTGTGTTTTGGAATGGAGAAAGATATAAAGTGGAACTTCCTAAGATTACACGTTAGGACCATTAAATATATCTAAAATAACAATGACTTGAACTTAGGTGTGTACAGCACAATTTCAAAATTTATAGATGACACAGTATTGTGGATTTTTAAGAGATTGTGAGGGACATAGGCTGATGAAATGGACTGATGCTTGGCAGATGAAAATTTAATGTGGATAAGTAGGAAGTGATACTCTTTGGTCCGAAAACTGAAGAGAGGCAATATACTAAAGAGTACAATTCTACAAAGGATCCAAGAAATAAAAGACTTGGGAGTTCGATGTGCATGAACATCTCAGGCTAAGATAGCAGATAAAAAGGATATGGGATCCTGGGTGTTACAAACAGATAAAGAGTACTAAAGCAAGGAAATCATGATTTACTTTTACTCCCAGCTTCAACTGGCATATTGTTTTCAATTCTAAGCATGATACTTTAGGAAGGATTATTGAGAGGATAGAGAAAAGATTTAAAAGGATAAGAAACTTCAGGGTAGGCTGAAGAAGCTGGAGCGGTGGTTCACAGAAAAGGTTGAGGGAAAGACTTGATAGGGGTGTTCAAAGTCATTAAGGGTGTAGACAGAACTAATAGAGATGCTATTCCTAATTATGGAACCAGAGGGCACTGATTGCAAGTGATCGGTAGAAGAACTAAAGGTGTCATGAGGAAAGTATTTTTTTATGCAGTGAATGGTCACATGTGGCGTGCACTACAAGAATGTGTTGGAGCCAATCAAGGCTTTCTAAAGAGATTTCGATAAGCACCTTAAATGGGTCAAAAAATTACAGTGCTATAGCGCAAGTGTGCAGCAGTGGAATGAGCTGAACTGTTCTTACAGAGAGTCGACAGACTCAAACTACTGAATCGTCCATCCATATGTTGTAACCATTCGATAATTTTAAAAATTACAATTGCAAGGGCTATTTTCTTTAAAATTAATCAAGAAAACTATCACAGGGCATGATCCTGGACATTTCCTTTGATAGATGCAGTTTTCATTTCATACAATATGTATTTTTTAACCAATTCTACTCAAGGGGATAGCTAAAGATAACAGCTCCGCTGAAGATAGCCTCTATAGAATGTCATAACATACACAATTTACCAATTAAATCCTTTTAATTGAGTAGGGGCAATTCATGTTCATTGACACAGCATCCCTCTGAAGACCTTCATTTGAATGCAAAACACCACAAGTAAGTAGGTCCTTGTGAAATGCAAATTTCAATATTTAAAAGTTATGAATCATGAATGATATTTCCATAAGCTCTAACAGCTTTTATATTTGTAGAGGAGATAATAACTATAAGGCGCTATGCAGGGAAAAGGAGTCACCATAATTGCAATTCCCAAAAATAATGAGGGTCGTTCCACAAAGACAAGAAGTGGATGTAGGCCATTTGGTCCCTTGAATCTATTCCACTATTCAATAAGATCATGGCTGATCAAACGATGGCTCTAGTTTCACATTTCTGTTTGTTGTCCTGACTCCATGGTAAATCAAAAATTTGTCTAACTTAGCCTTGAATGAACTAAATGACCAGGCTCCACTGCTTTGCTTCGGTAGTGAATTCCAAAGATTAAGACAAAATGGAAGGCCCTTTATACTGAAGTCATGACCCACCTTGTTCCAATATCCATAAGGGGAAAAAGCCTCTCAGCATCTACATTGTCAAGCCCTGTACCAAGATTATTATGCTTCAATAAGATTACCACACATTCTTCTAAACTCAAATGAACGTAGGCCCAACCTGCTCAACCTTTCCACATGAAGCAATTCTGTCACCCTAGGAATCAACGTAAACTTTCCCTCCAATGCAAATAAACAAGGAAACCAAAACCTATACTGTATCTAGTATTCCAGATGTGGTCACCATATGCTCTAATCTTCTGTAGTAATTTTTTTAGTTGGGGCTTTGTGAATGTACTTTTCAAAATCCAAATATACTCGATGTATACTAGATATATGAAGCATGGAACAAACACATTGTAGGGTAGCAGACAGAAACTATTATTCATCGATTCATCTTTATCCTTTCTCCTTGTTGCATCCTCAAAGAATTCCAATCGATGTGTCAAACTTGATTTCCCTTACAGAAAATCATGTTGACTGATAACTGTATTTTGATTTTTCTAAACGTACTTTTATTGCTTCCATAGAAACACAGAAGATAGAAATAGGAGTATGCCATTCAAAACGATTATGGCTGATCATACAACTCAGTACCCTGTTCCTGCTTTCATCCCATATCTTTTGATCCCTTTAGCCCCAAGAACTGTATCTTGCTGCTTCATGAAAATATTCAATGCTTTGGCCTCAACTACTTTTTGTGGCATAGAGTTCCACAGGCTCACCACTCTCTAGGTGAAAAGATTTCTCTGCATCTCAGTCCTAACTGGTTGACCCAGTATTTTTAGACTGTGACCCCTGTTTCTGCATTCCCTGATCATCAGGAACATCCTTCCTATGTTTATCTTGTAGCCCTGGTCCTTCATATTAGGTTCCAGCATTTTTCCAAAGACAAATGTTAGCCTAAATGGCCGATGGAAAGCAGGAATCTATTTCCTTCTTTCTTGAATGGAGGTGTTAAATTTATGGTTTTCATAAATTTACATGTGTCTTACTGGTCATCTACTTCACGCGAATGTCTGTGCATTTTATGTTTCAGGTGTCCAATAAACAATTACAGAAACTTTCTAGCCACTCAAGAGTTAAATCTCAGGGCGAGAGAGATAATTAATTTTGACAGATACAGCAGGATCCAAAAACCAAAAAAGTAGACTGCTCCTTAGCATAGGTTTTCAAAATAGGTTGGAATTCCTTAAAGATATATGAAGCATGGAACAAACACATTGTAGGGTAGCAGACAGAAGCTATTATTCAGTTCAATATTAGACAAATGGAAAAGTTTTGCAATCTTTACTTATTTCATTATTCATCAGAGTGCACTCGCCTGCTTGGGGCTCAAACATAATCTTGGTTCCTGACCAAATCTGAAAGTACTCAGATAAGGGATTTATTTGTACTTCTATGTATTTGTTATCAATGATGAAATTATGCACTCAGAGGATGGAAAAAGAAGTAGAAATCCAGGCAGGTGAAATGCTTGAGAACTGCTCCATGACCTCTGTCACATCCCACATCTGTGGAGAACAAATCCTGAGATGTAGCATGACTGAAGTTGGAGAAATGCACTCTCCCTCTAGTCCCACTACTCCACTGGTCACAATAAAAAATTTAATATTTTATTCAGTTACAGTTATAGTCAATTATGCACCTTATCTACATTAGGTTTAATCTAGGAATATCCATTTACCATATTTATTTAATAAACAACAAATGATTAGTTTCTTATAAAGCAAGATTTTTGACAAAGATATAAAACTGATTAGCATGCAGTTTGAAATCTGAAATTCTACATATTTACCTTTCTAAATACTCCTCCAAACATGTGAACAAAAAAAAACCTTCTCTGCAGAGATTCATTTGTGATAAAAATCATTTTGGCTAATAATGGTTATTCCCTGAAGCAAAAGGAATAAAACATGCAATGTTCAAGATAGCTTGCTGTCAGTGTCCTGGCACACATGACAGGTATAACTAAACACAGGCTGTTGTAACTGGGACATCTGCACAGAAAACATTGAGAAAACTCTCAGAAGCTTTTCAGGTGAACGGGTAGACCAGTGTTTCAGTTATCATGCTGGACTCCCAAAAGGGTTTTGTTAGAAAGACAGAGGAAGAGCTTGGTAGCTTGTCTTCCTCGGCAGGCTGAACCCCAAACTGCATCCAAAACGAACACGATCTCCTGACAGCCATCACACTGGCATGTGATTTCCAGTAAATAATTACAAACAACTGGCA